GTCAAGTCTTTCATCAAAATTATTTGAGTAATTCAGGGACAAAAGCTTTGAAATCCCTGTCCTAGAAAGGAAAAAGGAATGGTAATAATGAATGTATGCATTTGTATTTAGACTTACCCTTTCCATTTCTTTGAAGTCATCATCTAGCTTGGTTCCTTCTGCACCTCCTACTTTTTCACTCACTTTCTGCAGTTAAAAAAAGAACAACAAACAGATTCAGCAAGAACTGAAAAATCTACCCACTGCACTGTGTTCTCCTGGGGGAATGTTGGCTGTTTCTTGTTTTTTTGTTTGTTTGTTTGTTTTTTGTTCTGTTTGTTTGTTTGTTTTTGTTTGGTTTTTTTTTTTTCCCTGTAAGTTGGTACAACATTCTGACATACTATTCTTTCTGAAAAACCAATTTCAAACACACTTTAAGTTAGATAATAAAAAAATAATATATTACTGCTTAAGTCTCAGAGACCCAATCTTCTACTGGTGTCAGAAGTATATCGATCATGTCTTTGCAAGATCATACCTCTATTTCTCTGTTCAATTAATGTCTGTATCTTGGAACTTATCAAGCAATTAATCAACAATGACAGATCTGTATTCAGTAGACAGACATATCCATGGTTGTTTGTGCTGATGACAAAGGAGGTGATGATAGAATGAACTGGAGAAGGAATCAAGGCACTAAAAAATTTCTCATCAGAGCTGAAAAATGGCTCCAGCTGCTTTGTTCAGCATGTATCAATTCAACACCAAGGGTAATAATCATGCCTAAGCACAGAGCAAGAAGAAGCTCCCAAGGCCTGACTCTAGCCACTCAGAAGGCAGCAAGCATCCACACCTGAGAACTATCAGAAACATGCTGACTCAAGCCACAACTGGACCTTCACCATTAAAAATCAAGTTTGTAAATAAAAGTTATAGACTAAAAAAAAACATACATTCACACCATGCAAGAACTTGAGTTACATAGCAAACACCCAGTTGACAGATCTATTAGAAAGAATGGAACAGAACTTTCATGTCATGTCTTTAGCAAATACTCCTTTTTTAAAATAAAATACTCAGTTTGAAAACTAATTGGAAAATGATTTTGTGCTACTGTTTCATTTCCCTGATTCAGCGGAACACACAGAACTGAGTTTCCTTTTACTGTCAGTAAAAGCGATAGTAACAGATTTGAATGGTAACTGCTATGCAGCACCATTCAAAATGGATTTTAGCAATTGCACTGTCAGTAACAAAATGTTTTAGTGGTGTAATTCTACAACTAACCCAAGTGCATATGATCCAGTGAATGTACTGATCTTGCACGGGGCTGGTACTTGTCATAAGAAATTAATCAGACATATGACTTTCTGTTTTCTATCCATTTTTAGGTCTTTGTACTGAACACCATTTAATTTTACAAACTTTCCTAGGTGCCTTTGAATTATCTTTAGACTGTTTTAACTAAGTGTGACTACTCATTTCAGTGAAGTGACTCCTGCAATAAACAAGGAGAAAAAAAAAAAAAGCAGCACTTTTTTCCTCATGGTTTCAACCACTGTGTTACCATGCCACTAATAAAATCCAGACATTTTATTAATTTCAAATTAACTCCCGTTGACTCCAACAAAGCTGCAAGTGCAGCATGGCCAGGCACTTAGTAATACAGGCTATAATTTTCTGTGCAATAGGAAATGGCTACCAGCTCTGTTTGTTTTCTGTCAGCTCCTTGCAAATTAGTACCCAAAATGGTGCATTAGTGAGACATCAATATGATGACACATCCTGAAAAAACAAAGAACTTTGCTTATCTCTTCTTTCCCATGCAGAAGAGATGTGCAAATCCATGCACACTCTCTTGTCATTAATCTGAATGCAGATTAGTTTGGTCTGTATCACTGACCTTGTACCTTACAGAGATTAGTGAAGTGCCACAAAAAATCATAGATTTTAAACTCAGTGCTGTTAGGAACAATTCTGCAGTGGCAAAGGGATAGATTCAATGTCTTAAAAGGCGCTATTCAATTGCAGTTTCTTTGAAAAATGGTAACAAAGGAAACATAAAAGACCAGTAGCTTTCTTTACGAGTCCCTGAATGAATCTTCTGCAAATGGACCTCCTACTATGGATGATGCAGCAAAATCTGCACAGGAGCTTTCTACCACAAAGACTTCTGGTCCCTGAAAATGACACAATGCAAATAGGCTAGCACTTAAATATTCAGAACAGGTTTTGAATAACTGAAGTTCAACTGTAAGGATACAAAGCACCCAAAGGTAATTAATGTTCCAGCCCTTTTTTAGCTGTTGCTTTACTTTTTGTCACTTTGAGATACTTCTCTAGTTGATGAGGATTTGCAAAGACATGGCTTATCATCCCCAGAGATGCCCATCTCACATCTACAAACCATAGCAATTGCTCATTCCCTTCATATTCTTCATCACTCTAGTTGAGGAATGTATGTAACAGTGCAGCTCTGTAGTCTGCTGGAGTGGTCACTGCTAAGTCAAAAAGGCAAGTCACCTCTCTCTTCTCAAAGAGGACCATTTTTGGTCCCTTTGTCAATATTAGCCTCACAATCACCATAATGAGTCACTCAGTTAAGGTGACTAACAAAACTATGTACCAAGAAGAAAATTCATTTGTAAAGCTCTGGGACAAATACAAAGACAACAGAGGTGAGTCAAAGGAGAGAGACGAACTGGGAAGCCTTCAGCCCTTCTGGAGCTCTCAGGGAAATTACATCATAGAACCCCAATGAATTACCTTCACCTCCACTAGCCAGACAAAAATCTGGTTTGGAAAAGCACTGACAGACCACAGGAAAAGAGCAGCTGAACCGAAATCCCACCTGAACATTTAAATACTGTTTTTGTTTGTTTTTTGTTTTTTTTTTTGAAGGCCACAGCCACTCAGCAGTCAGAGATGAGAATTCAAACAAAGGATTCAAATTTAAGAGAAAACAAAAACAAAAACAAACCCTCTCCCATTAGGGCAGAAGGGAGAAATCTACTCAGAATAGGATATTAAGCTTCCTTTGCAAGGCCACAAACTAAAGTGGTCAGGTGGGAGCAGTGGGCCTGAGAAAGGCAGCTTAAGCCTTTGCAACAGAGTCCACACCTATGTCACAACTGTATTGACAACATTTTGGTATATTCTTCAGCCCATTTATATCCATCCTCCTGTGACATATATACAGATGATCCGTGTCAATATGAGACAATTATGTAACACCAAGGGTATAAAAATGGGCAAGTGGTGCAGTTGGTGTGCGTCGCTTAATAAATTCTGATTCGATTTCCTAAAGTCTGTTCGGGATTCGATCATTCATAACACTCCAAATCAACTGTTAAAGCATTTCATTAAGGCCACCACTCCACCATTCTCTAAGATTGTCAGATTGATTATCATAGGTCATGAAGCCATGCCAGCTTTCATGAGCTGAGGATCTGCTCTTGTGCTAAAGATTCAGAAGCAGACAGAAACATCACCAGCTGACAGCTACAGCTAGCCAGAAAACAAAAGGCTCCTTTGCCATGTCATTTGAGTTGAGGTTTAAACATTTTGGTTCTAGGTTTACAACAAAATAAAAAGTAGGCCCTTTGTCTTTAAAAACAGTAATACTACATCTCCTCCTTGTCCAGTTATATGGAAGAATCAAAACCTAATGTGATGCCACAGACAACATTATTATCTTGTGATTGTGCCTTCTCTTTTAATGTTGATTACCTATTTGATTTTGCAGCAAAATTACTATTAAAATATCCATATATTTTCATGAAAAATAACAGATTAAACATACAAACATTTTCTGGTCGGAAGAAAAAATGTAATGAAAACGTTTTTGTGCATCAAAAATATACAGACCTTTTCTACACCTAACAATGTCATGTTTTACAATCGGGATCTCCATATTTATATAACTGAAAACAATTGCTGTGTGCCTCAGAGCACATTCCAATCTTATAAAGATCCCATTTCCCCTCAGGCAGAATATTAACATCTGCTGGTCAGAATGGTTTCAGTAGGGACAACAAAAGTGGCATAAATCCTGCACCTAGGGGAAAAAATAAACTTGCTTCTCCCTGACAGATAATATTAAAAACACAGGGTTTTGGTAAATGCTGACAGGATCTGGAGTATAAGTCATAGTGACAGGAGTGTGATTTGTTAGATGGATTTCATGTGAAACAACAAAACTTGTTAGGTCTTGGTCATGGAGCCATTTGTTCCATTTTTCATATAGTCATGCAATTAACCTTTTTTTTTTTTTTGTATTGCTATGTCATGACACAGCATGTTGCACAGGACAAAAAAATTCACTATGAATATGCTGAAAATTCCAGTTGCCTTTTATAGAATGCACTGATGATCAATTGTACAATATCCCATACAGCAGTCCTAATGACAATAGGAATCTGATGCTGTCGTCTCTCGCTACTCACAAGATATTAATGTTAATCAAATGTGCACTAGACAGCTATTCCATGAGAATTAAGTTGTTCACTACTGTAACACTGCATTGTACTAGAGTACCTTTTCAACAATTCACAGTACAAACAACTGCTATCAGAAAGCCTTGCACAGTACACTATGCCACCACCCAAACATAAAAATGCAGCAAGGTCTGCATTAAACTACAATATTAGTTACCTGAGTCTGCACTTCTATTAATTTCATAAAATTCTATTTTGGCAACATGTAGAGAAGTCAGCTTTGCTTCTATACAGGAATAGAAAAACAGCTCAGAATAGATCACCACAGTACGTTGCCTTTGCCTATGATGTAAATCGAATGACCTGTTTGGAAAGCAGTCACAGCACACTAAGACTGAAAAAGTACCAGTCTCTTCACGGCATTAATTCATAGCTCCAAATATGGAGCTCAGCAACACTTTTACTCAAAGCATATAGCAAACTGTGATCTACTTCTTTATACCTTTTATAATTACTGCCATCCTAGACTGATTTTGCCATTCAGATATTTTGAAGATCATCTTTCCACAATGTTTCTTGTCTACCACATATTCAGTTTCCACAGAACAACTTCTCTATCCCTAAAAGGAAGGCTGTTGACACTACAGTCCTATCAAATTGCCACACAGTGGACAGGGCGGTAGGAACAAAAAATTTGTTAATATGAAAGCTACAGGAAACAGTAATGAATGGAGCTTACAAATTCATGACAGACAGACATAATGCTCTC